CGAACTGCATCTCGCCCACACACCAGCCCCTCCCATGTGGTGAAACGGCCGTGTGGACGACCGGGTAAACGCCCACACACTAGGCCAGTCCTACGTGGCACTAAAAACATGGCAAGATTCGTGCGCTTACAAATGGACGCGGATCCACGCGTGTGGGCTAGATGCAAACGCCCACACATGTGGGCATTAACATTTCCGATGATTAAAGCATGCTTGCAGACCTGCCAAACGTGGTGTATTTACTATTTTTTGGTACGCACAATTTCAGGACAGTAATGATCTTTTTGTTGTTCCAGTTGTTTGTTGTATATATACATATATTCCTAAGATCTGGAGCAATATCTCACCATGCAACAGATTATGTGATATTAAAATTATTTGCATGTATGGAATTTGGTTATCTCATTCAGTTTATTTAAACTTGACATCCTGTTTTGTTTTTGATCCGTATCTATCTTTGTACAATATATCAAGTTCACTTCATCTCATTTTATTGTCATACATTAGTAATAATAGTGTCATGCAGATGCACATGAGTGATAACCTGACTAAAGGGGCATTGCCTTTTATAGGGACAACTCAGCATACGAGCATTTAAACTATTGTCCTCAAGTGATATTTTAACTGCTATGGAATACTTAACTGTGTAAGGACTTGCAATGGCACAAAAATGTACTAGAAGGCTTCTGATTTCCCAGCGTCCAGGTTCTGTCACGGTCAATCTAGCAGCTGTAGCCTTGGCTGCAAGTTTTAGTCCCTCTGCTTCCACCCATGATGTCTGTGTTGTAAGTTTGCTTGCATGGCGAAGGAGTTCTGGTCCAGAAAGTGCATTACAATACATAAACCATACATCTAATTATTGTTGGAACTTTGTGATGGTACTTTGAAGAATGAATGCCTTAATACAATTGTTTCATTGGTTGACAAGCTTTCTGTAATTTGGAGAGTCAAACAATATGGATCTATCATTTTGAAATTGTGGTTTGCGCGAGCTGACAAGCACCCCACTTGGGAGGTAAATTCATTTCATTCACATATCTTATTTGTCCTTTAGGAATATGCCTTATAAAGTTTTAGAACTTGATACACTAATTTTCCGCAGTAACGTGCGGGGTGTTATCTAGTTTCAATAATGTACTAAGTACTGGTTATTCAATAATGTACTGAGTAGCTCCTCCACTGAGTTACATTTCTCATTTCTATATGCAAATGCTTACCGTTTGATCAGTATCATAAGCATATGATCAACAGATTAGCTAGCCTGAGATTGCCTCCATAGGTGCATCATTTCTGGGGCCATCTTTTCTGGCGGCTCAAAGGCAACAGAGGTGATGTCAATCTGTAGTTTACTTCTAACAGTTGCATGTCATGTAATAGAGCAAAAATACTTTTTACTGCTTCGTCGCCACGGACTATTTGTGTTATTCTTTACTCTCTATGCTGAAAAGCGAGTAAAACACACGCTTTAATGTCTGTTCAAAATTATGTCTTTTCTTCAAATTAAATTATGGTGTGTCATAATATATTTACAGGAAATGAATAGTGTTGATATCTTGGATGAAAGATAACCTGATAGTTTATGTTCTCCCTACAGGAACTAGATAGACATGCAATTTCAGATGCTTAGTTGATGAACTTTCCCGTAATATACATTCCCCTTTTCCTTACATTCTGGGTATAATGGGCCTTTTGATTTATTTTGAAGAATGGTATTTGTGGCTCAAAGAACAAGTCGTATTGATGGAGGTGGTGAGCATGAATTTGTAGGCGG